GTGGCCGGGTTCTTCCAGGGGGGGGGGGGGTTCTGGGCGTGAGGTGCACAGTCGAAGCCGCGGTGGGGTCGGCGAAACCCCCAAAGCAAGAGGATTTTCGTGCTTTATGGGGTCTAAATAATGCTATAAAAGCAGATATGTTTGAAAATGTCTGTGTCTGGGTGGGTCTGTAGTGCATTAGTTGGGTTGGAAGACTTAGTTGGGAAATTTAAAGAGGGGGTTTCGCCAGAAAAGAGGGGGGTTTGTTAGAAAAGGGGGTTTCTCCCGAACCATAAACCCCCCCCCCCCCGGATACGAATCTGCGACATGATATTATAGCGGTGATTCATATGCAATAAGTACCAACAATATTGACCAATTAGAAGACATGATATTATAGCGGTGCTTCATAACAATACATATAAGCTATTTGAAAATTAGAACAACGAATTTGTTTGATGTGCTCATATGTGGGTATACCACTTTTTTTTTTGTCACATAAATTTGATAGCGTGGACAGAGCATAAAACTAAACACAAGACATTATCGAAACCGAGAGAAAAATTTACAATGAATGTGATTTTGCACTGAGGTTTACTTTCGTATCTTCCGTACTGTTGTTTCCTTTCTGCTTGTATTTTGTCAACTGCAAAGGAATTTCCCTTTAGATTTTTTTTTCTATAAAACTGCACCGCATCTGCATGTATAGATATTTACAATAAAAGTGGGCCAAATTTGAAAGACGTCACTTCCGGGAGATCTTGTTAAATAAACTTTAACGCAATGTGTAATTTATATTTTTGTGCCCATGGTGATACCCATCGTCACCGGGATTTTTCCTCCGTATATTTTTAACGATGAGACTATGTTGCCATTGTTAATGTTCTTTCCTAATGATTTTGTAATTCCTGTGAAATCTTCAGCTATTCAATGTTAGTTATCCGATCATTTATCATTCTCATCACTCCTTTCACCTTGGGCCTATTTTCTTTCTCATTAAACAGAATAGCCCGCCTGTAGCGGGGTATATAATACATTTTATTGGTATCGTATGTATTATGTATGTGTTACAGTTGACATTACAAAATGGAGGGCTACTTTACCAAATTTAGTAGACCTAACTCATTTGCATAATTGCATGAGTGTAACTTTTTAGATGTTGTTATTGCTTTTAATGATTTATTTGCTTGATCTCAATACAAAAAAAAAATGATATATAAAGTAGTAAAAATTTTCAAATATTATGAATTGCGGAAGATGGGTCATTTTCCGGGAGGTGGTTCGTG